AGATAAAGTCGTTATAAGTATACAGCAGAATTTAAATGAGGGGGCAGTGAAGTGGTGTTTCATTCTGTGACGTGCAAGCCACTGCAGCATGTGATGCAGAGCCTATAATAGGGAGCACTGCACGGATTACAGCAGCATGAGCATGTACAAGATAAGGACGGCAGTGGAGCTTATTGAGACAAAGAAGAAATGAGTTCAGAATATTAATAAATATAAAGCGGTCCTTCCTGCTCATACACCTGTCTCTGTCTGTCGCTTTCTCTCCGGTTGCAGTCTCTCTTTCTGCTCCAGCACAGCTCGCTGTAGCACAGTGGCCTCCCTTTTCTCTCAGCCTTGTGTGTGTGTGTGTGTGTCTGCACATGTGCTTTTGCATGTGTTTCTGTGTGTGCACGTTTCTGAAGATGTAGCACAACATCCCCACCAGCTGGATGGTAAATGCAACTTCTAGAGTATAAAAAATCTATCTCATCCTCATTTCTTCTCGTCTTTCATCCGCCCTTCTCACATGAAACAGCTGCACAGGTTTTTGCTTGACAGAAACTTCCAATAGGCCAGATATACTGAAGAAAACACCGTCACAAAGAGGGGTGTGTATGGCTGTAACGGCATAATCCACTCTCCTTTTAGTATACCTCAAGAAAGACGCCCCAAAGTATTCTAATCTTTACAAATCTGAACCCCTCCCATGTCTTTTGCCTCCTCCAGTCTTCTTTCCATCTCCCCTTATCTTCATTTATTTGTCTCCTCCTGTTTGTCCTTGTCTGACCATCTCTCTGCTAATTTCCTTCCACTCCGCCGGCTCCTCGCTGCTTCTCTTTGTCTCAGACTTTAAGCCGACAACGTCAGCTGAAATAATTAGCTGGCACCTCCGCTGTGTGTGATTGTGTTTCTGCTTATTAGTCTTGGGTGTGTTTTTGTGTATGACTGCGTGTGTGAGAGACAGTGAGGGATGCAGACGGTGTTAATCAGATGTGTTGTCTTTGTCTATAAGCAGTAAACATCCTCTCATCGGTTCACCTTCTCACCCTGCGTATGTAGCTCGCCTTGTTCCGCTGTCGGCTCCATGTCAGTTTGAAGTCCTCTTCCTTTACAACCTTGTTTTAGTCTTCTGTTGTGTGGCAACTGCGCTTTGAAGCGAAAACTACAGTTAACGGGTTGGTTGAATGTCAGTTTAAGAGCTGTCATCTTTGTAAGTGGATACATTCTGGTCTCCAGTTCTGTTAGTAATGGCCACCACTTTGGTCCAGACGGAACAACTATTTGATGGATTGTAGGGGTGTGAAGATTTACCGATACGAGTCAGAAATCAGTTTTAGATGCGATTTTATCAGTACGCAGACTCCTGGATCAATCTGAATGTACCATGAACCGGTCGATGGTCTGATCCTACAGTTATGAATCAGTTGACTGAAGCTTTGCTGCTAACAGCGTCTCCACTCTTCAGCTACAACTGAGCTCCAACTGGGCGAGGTTGGATGGTCTTAGAAAGGAGAGATGCCTTCTTACAGCACCCCCAGGAGGTCACTTAATGCCAAACATCATCCCAACATGTAACAAAGCAGACATCTTCTGATGATATCTGAGAGGTACAAACGGTGAAGAAGTCCTCCAGGGGTGAGCCCAGGGCTCCAGCAGCGTCAGTTAATGGAGGGGTGGATGTATTTATGTATTTCCCTGCATATACAATGAATGGCTGAAAATGGTGCTGTCAGGCAGACGGAGGTGAGCCCACGTCATAAAACTCAATCAGCATGTAAATGAACATGTCAGCTTTCAATCACACGTTTCATCATCATCTCGATTCTCTCCATTTTACAAACAACATCCCACATGGAAATCATTTCATTACAGTGTGCATACATACATGTATTATTTAAGAAGCTGCTGAAAACTCACCTGTTTCATAAACACAGAATCCTGTAATGTGTTTCAGCCTGTGTGTAGTTTCTGTAGTTTTCTACTCCTATTTGTGTCTGCCCTGAACAGCACCGTGTGACTCTATAAATAAAGTGTATTATTAGTATTATTAAACGCTCTATTTTTAAATATGAACAGGACATTGGAAGAAAAAGGATAGATGGATGAAAGAGGGAGGAATCAGAGAGAAGAATGCGGGGAGAGATGCATACATTGAAAAAAAGTGAGACAAAAATGGAGATTATTCACGGAGGAATAAATGATCTCATGGGGACAAAAACAGAAGAACAGATACAGAAGGATGGATGGAGGCAGTGGAGAGAATGATGAGAGGACAGGTGGAAAGAGGGATGGAGGGATGCCTTGTGTGTGGGAAGAGAGAGATATGACAGGAAACAGCTGAAAAGAGTTTGAGAGTAGACGGACTGATATGGGAGAGAGGGATGATGGGAGGGACTCAGGCGGAAAGATAAGTGGAGGGACGCAGAAAGGGAGCGATGCAATTGAAATGAGAAGTGCTTTTAGTCGAGAAGAGAGCGATGAAAGGACGGAGGAGAGGGCGACGGAGAGGGAGAAGTGCATGTAGCCTGAAAAAGAGCTGCTTTGCATTTTTCTCACGCTGAGCAGGCCTGACTAAACAAATTAAATCTGTTCTGAGAGCAGCAGTGTTCCTCAGAGACGCAGCATCACGTTGCACCTAAACTCTGCTGCAAAAAGATAATCGCAGAAAAGTAAACATCTTCAAAAGTCAGCACACACTGCCACAGATACAGTGACGCCGATAATATGGTGACTGGAGAGGAGAGCTTGTGAGCTTATTAACAATATCTACAATGTTCAGTCAGGATCCCAGGGTTAGCTCTATAACTATAACTAATGCTCCTATAACACCCAATAAAGCCACACAGCCTGCCACACGTGTGTTCATTCATTAAGTTCACTCATGAGAACGGTAGAGAAGCTCGGAGATTGAAGTCCTGCTCTCCGAGAGCAACAAAGGACAGTCAGCAGTGGAAGTAAAGGACCTGCTGAAGGAGGGGGAAGGAATAATGAGAGTCACCTGAGGGTCGGACTGCACTGAAATCTGAAAGTGGTTTTATTTTAAAAGCAATGATCGATGGGGGTCAAGGGGAAGTCTTCAACACAGAGGTAGAGTAAAGAATATAAATTACATAAGTCATAACCATAACATTAAATCTGAATAGTTCCTGACCTTTACTCTGAGCTTCTACTACTCAGACCACAAGGCTGTAAAGATGGACTGATCTCAGGTAAAGGTCAACCCACTGAAATACTGGAAACAAAACACTTAAAAAGGTAAACTGTGGAAAATTGGCCTCTGGTGGATGAAACAGGCCCCGTCTCCGAGAATTTACATTTATGTGCAACTAATTTGCAACAGCAAATACATTTTGAGAGAAATGTAACATAATTATTATAAATAAACACACCTGGCAGCTCACAAAAATGTTAATGCTGAATTTCATTTATTTTCTGCCAAAATACAAATAGTGACTGTACAGTATTATTCAAATGTCAGCAGCAACTAAACATAAGCTTTTAAATAAAGATGTAAGCGAGTGAGAGTGCTTTTGTTGAGCCTGGATGCAAACCCCGGACTGTGGTGAGACAGACTTGCACACTAAGTAAGAAAACAGTTCTGTACAGTTTTTTTTTGTAAAAAGGGGACAAACAATTAAAAAGTATTGTTGCTTATTGGAAAAATTTACCAAAGCCTGTGACCTTTTCCTTTCTTTAACTCATTCTCATTTAAGAATACACTCATTTAATTCATTACTTTTTGCTCAGGTGTAACTACGGACTGAAGGTCTTCTCTTGCTGAACGGTGGATGTCTCCACTCCCAATAAAACTTTGTATCCACCTTGAGCACAACTTTAATATCCTCATCCGAGTGACAAATTTGTGGATGTCGCTCATTATCGCCTCCGAGTCTCCTGCGCTCGCGTTCCCATCATACTCAGACTCTTCAATTACCCATTGACATTTGAGTGTAGTCTCAGTTGGGTTTTTTGAATCCTCCCGATCATTTCCACTGAATTTATCTCATTCCATTACATCTCGCCCATTACTTCCTCTCATTTAGCTCGTATCCTGCGCTCCCCAACCCGCTACGAGGACAGGCTTCCTGCTCTGTATTCTGCGCCGCAGTTCAGGCACAGTTTGAATATTTCAGCGCCGTAAATAAAAGAGCGTGTCTCTCTCTGCTGTTATTTGCAGTCGACCTTCCTCCCAGTCACTCGGCATCTAACTCAGTGCAACTTTTTTAGAGAACGTGTACAAGTGGGAGCTGGCACGCATGCATGAATGTGTGCATATGTTGCCCCTACTCGCCACGTTTTATTTTTCTTCCCGTTTGAATTTATTCAGGGCTCCGCTGAGCTGAACGCACAGACCGAACGGAGGGAAATCAATATCAATGTAAATGTATTCCTTTATTGCCTTGGCTGGAAACGTTGGTTTAAGCCTCATTTCTATGCACAAAAACATCTATGAAATTTATGAGGTGAGACAGACAAGCAGGCAGAGGATAATTTGTGTTCTTTAATGTTCTCCTCAGATTCTAATCATGGGAGTGCAGTGAGCTTAATTGATGATATAAGTACTGTTTACTTCCACTTTCCCAGGACAACTTAGCCTACTCAGCAGATAAAAAAAACTAATTTACCCCCTCACCTCCTCCCTGTCACTGTTCCCTCTCTTTTTCCGTCCTCCCCTCTTTCATGTGAAGCATTCATTATCCTTTCTTCTGGAAATTCTGGTCTCCTCGTGTCTGCAATGTCTGGGAAAGCATAAAAGATGGATTCACGTGTCCTTAAAAGCTGCAGAAAAGTTTGTGAAAGCATAGAATATACACAGGCGCTTCACATTTCCTGCAGCTATCTCGCATGCTGTGTCACTGTGAGGGATAATCTGCATCTCTAGAGCCCTACAGCAGCGCTCAGATGCCAAACAGAGATCATTTGGGAAAAGCATTCCATTTCTTTTACCTTTGTGCAACAAGCTATATAAACTGATCTCTCTCTCTCTCTCTCTCTCTCTCTCTGTGTGTTGCAGCAGGAGAGTAGCCATGGACGCCGTCTCCTCGCTGGTCTGCCCTGTCCTCCTCCCCCTCCTCTTCGTCCTCCTGTCCTCCCTCCCCACATGCTCCTCCTCCATGCTGTGTCCGAAGAGGTGCACCTGCCAGAACCTGCTGCCGTCCTACACGGTGCTGTGTGCCAAGACGGGCCTCCTCTTCGTCCCGCCCAACATCGACCGCCAGACGGCCGAGCTCAGGCTGATGGACAACTTCATCACGACGCTGCGGCATCGCGACTTCGCCAACATGTCCAGCCTGGTCAGAGCTCAGATTTTTGCATTCATGCTTACTTTGATCCGTACAATAGTCAGTTTCTGCCAAGCACTTGAATCCGGATGTGATCCAACGGTTGTGTTGAGACCGAGCAGAGATGCTCTGGTCTTCAAAGTCTGAGACCGAGGAGGAAGACTAACCCTCCCAAATCCGTGAAGTACACTGAAGCCTTTGGTTACTATCGGGTTTTCCTGGCCCCACAAACTCAAACATTATATGAAGGAATCAGAATGTAAACCATTGTTGTGGTACAAACTGCAATGTAGAACCAAGATATAATGAGACAGGATATACTTCATTAATTACTTTTCAAAACAAAATATTTTAAATTAGCCATATTAACACTAAAGCTTACATAATATACTCAAAGCTGAAGGAGGTAACTTTTATAAAAATAACATTTTGTCATACTTGCTGATTCTTTTACTGTAATTATGTCCTGACAGTGGAACAAAATCAGGTTATTTTTCATTAAACTTACCTACAGCAGTTTTAAGTATTCAAAGAGATATTTCTTAAATGTTCTTTTGCACAAGAAACAAATTAGTTTTTTCAGCTATGAAACAACATAACAGTTGTACATAACAGTAATTCATATTCATATTTGAAATTAAACCCAGTATACTGGTTCTTCCAGTAAGTCACTCAGCACTAATTCAACAATCAGCTACACTGCTTTACAAAGCCAAAACGCATTAACTACAGGTTTGGTCGAAATTGGACAAACTGAACATTTCAATGTCTGTTTAATCTTTTCTAAGTTCAGTCTCACTCTTAGATCTTAGAGAAACAAAACAATGTAAAAATTTCAGCAGCTACAAACTCGCTCTCCCTCGCTGTCTCTGAGCTTCGGCTGCAGTTACTGCAGCTTCAGTGTCTGTAAATCCTGAATTCTGGACAATTTCAGGACAATGTAGGAATTAAAACAAAGGGAATCTTCATGTTCTCCACTGGGAACTCTGACTGACNNNNGTGGATTATTAGCTGAGCCCATTGTAGCAGATAATAATAATAGTTCAGATATTACTGTACTAGCACTACAGGACAAGCTATTAATGTGCTAATTAAAATTAATGTGTCATAGTTTAAACCTCACAAATTAATACTTAAAATCTTAATAACTCATCTTTTTCAACTTTTAACATATAAAACAATATGAAACACAGATTTAATGTAATAGATTTTCTCAGGAAGAAGACACTACCTATTTATCAGTTTATGCTAATACAGAGGGTCATGAATTATTTAATTCATGGCTAAACGGATTTTCAGCCATGAAAATTACGAAAATTAGCTTTTCTCAGATTCACTGTCAGCGTAGTTAATGCAGTTAGGCTTTATAGGGCAGTATATATCTCCAGAATGACTGACCCCACCCTTACTTACAAGAAAAACAAAATGAATTGTTATAGCTGACTCAATATGTGTATTTCTTTCATAAATATATATATTTTTGGGGCTTTTAGTGCCTTTACTCGATAGTGACAGTTGAAGATGGGCCACAGGTCGGATTCGAACCCTGGGCCTCAAGGACTCAGCCCTCAGACGTATTTCCCCCTGATGATTAAATAGCATCACTTGCCTTCAGAATGATTTCTGGAATAGATGATAATTAATGGGTTGAAAGTATCTGAGGAAGATTTTTCGAGGATTGAGCATTCAGATGAAAGAGAACTGCTCAGCTCTCAGCACCATCAGGAACATGTATAAGTGTGAACTTTTCAGTGAGGAAAAAGACTTGAAATTGAAGCCAGCACAGTGAGGCGAGCCTTCGTGTTTATTCCACACTGAACGCAGGAAACAGTGGGAACATCTGCTCGCTCCAACATGACATACTGACTGAGGTGAAGTCTATTATATCTTACGGATTTCACCAATTAATCCCACTGTAATCATGTAACGGAGGTGGAGGGGCTTCACTGCATGGAGCGCCGAAGGAAAAATACCAACATCGTGATCTTTAATTGCCAAATAGAGACGCTCGTCGCAGCTGGAGACTTCCTTAGTGTTTGAAAAATAAGTTTCCTCTCCAGTGCGATCACAACAGTGCAGATGATGTTTGCTCACACACAAGGGAACGTGGGAAATGAGGTTTTAATCATTCAGCGGTGAGCGTGACAGAACGTCACAGATGTCTCCGGTGATCGCGGCGCTTCTCCAAAACAGGTTTACAAATCTGTGGGTGTTGATTGACCTTTTCCCGGGTGTTAATAGAATATTTCTGCATCTTCACACCCACTGAATGGTATTTCATGCACAGTAGTGCGTTTTAATCCCATGTCTCACTGTGCTCTAGTATTAATTACTAATATTATTATTAATGTAGCGCGGTTTAAAGGCCATACTGTAACCTGACCGCTGGTTTAATCCCCACAGCCCAGACCGTCCAACCTTCTGAACCGTTCTAAAGGGAAACATCAAGTCTTTATTATCTCCAGGGTGGTGGCTCATCTGCTAACTCTGACCTCTGACCTCCCTGAACAAGAGTGTCACTCAAACACACGGTATAGAGTTTGGCAAAAGTGAAACCTCACTAAATTATTGCTGGTATAAAAAATTAATCATCTTATAGGAGTTTAAAAAGAATAGAAAGTGGGTCATTTAACTTTGTGGGAGTCCGAGATACACAATGACAAAGTTGATCCAGTATTTTGGTTTCTCTGCATGTCCAGATCCACCTGACCCTGAGCAGGAACACCATCAGTCAGATCCGGCCGTACACCTTCGCCGACCTCCAGGATCTCCACGCTCTCCACCTGGATGCCAACCGCCTCACCACGCTGGACGACTCCCACTTCCAAGGCCTGGTGAACCTGAGGCACCTCATCCTGGCCAACAACCAGCTGCACAGCATATCGGAAGGAGCCTTCCAGGTACGGGTACTACACCAGAACCCTATCCCCTAACGCTATCACTCTTACTCCAGGTGGCAGGAACTGGTGAAGTCTGTGAAGTCGGAGGAGTAGAGGGCGAACAGAAAGGGGGGACAGGTCCAGGCGAGTGTCGGCCTGTCTGTATGAAATATTGGGCCATGATTTCGGGACTGTCACCGATGCACCAGTGTTTTCTTATTTTTGCTCTTCTCTTCTAACTCTTTTACGAGTGTTCGAGAGCAATCTTACCAAGAGAACACAACTCACAACATATAGTTTTCACAGTCCACAAACAACACAAAGAAACCTAACAAAGGCATGAATATCAAATAATCAGATTAGATTATATGTTTTAGAGAAATTATAGTGATTGGATTATTACATTTGTGGGCTAAATAAATACTATTGCTCTATTGATCCCTTTTAAAACTATAAAACCCCTTTGATGATATTGTGTGTTCAGGTTCTTATCCCTTGTATCAATATATCAGTATCTTATAGATATCTTATATTTTATTTGTGCTGAATTCTGTGCTGCAAGCTTGCATATAAATACTTGTTTTTGTGAAGGCTGTGCGACCACCTGAGATGTTTTGACGACCCCTAGTTGGGGTCTCGACACCCAGGTGTTGTAGGACTAAAAGCAAAGTGACAAATGTAAAACTCAGTGGAAATATTTCATTTGTAAGATCACTTCGATCATCTTAAACTGAGATACTTAATGTCTGTGAACGCATCAAAAACTACATGAACTGTCACCATAAACCCAAAATATGTTCAGTCTTTCAGGGAAAGAAAAAATATTTAAGTTTGTCTTATTTTTACTTTGTTCATTTGATTGTTATATTAGAATTAAATATGGAGAAATTGGAGCATAATCTAGTTAGTTAAATAAAGCTTGATAGACAAAATTACCCAATTACCCTCAGGCCTTCATCAGTATTTTTAAATTATAATTTCAATTTAAAACTAATCTTGGTGCTGCTATAAATTGAGTTTTAGTTTGGCAATATGCCACATAAAATTAGTATTTAATTAATATTTCATATATAAACCTAATGTGTGTGTAGTGTAGTGTGAGCCAGACTATTTGAAATCCAACAAATCTGGATTGGCGCTGCCAACAAACCTCATGACTCATCACCCAAGCATCCAGACTGACTGCCATTTGCCAAGATTATCAGTTAGAAAAAGTTATTGCAAAGTCATTTAAAGCTCTTTAGACTAGTTGTGGTGCTGAGGGTCAAGTGCTGTGTGAAAATGACGCCACGTTTCTGGCTCCAACTCTGAAGTCCGGCAGAATCAGCCAGACCCCGTCTGCCTCCGCTGCTCAGCTGGACACCTTTTTAATAACCCGGCCCTAAAATAAACAGTTTTCCCCTTTTCATTAAATGATGCTGTCCTTTCTCTGCTCATTAAAAGTCCAGCACTTAAGTGCCAAAGTGTCCCCCTCAGGGCCGGCTCTCAGACCTCTGCAGGACTTTCACAGAGAGAAAGCAGAGAGACATGAACTCTGAACTCACTAATGGACCGGACCTTCTGAACCCTCAGCATAACATCACTCTTCATCTCATACCCACCATTTCAGCATCTTCCTCCCCGTCCATTCACCCTCTTTCTCCTCTGCCTTTATGTCTCCAGCACTTCCTCTCATTCAGCCAAGGTTTGCATAGATTTTACTGCCATTATTTTATTTAAGAACAATCGTTATTTCTCCAACTAGATGGATGCTCCTTATTTGCAGAGAGGTCTAAGCTACTTTATGAGAATACCGCCACCTCTAGAAACTCTTGAAAAACTTAAACTAACTGTAGCAGCATGGCTTATTTCTTGCCTCAAATGTTTTCAGAAATGTATTTTTGTAATGTAAAAAAAAAGGTTTCAAACAAACCACCATGTTGGTCCAGTTCGAAATCTAGGAGCAGAAAGCGTTGGTCCAATCAGGTGCAGTCAGGCTGTGCTTATACAGTTGTTACATACATTTTTAAAAGCACTGACAAAACAACCTGCTTTGTCGCTTGGGTATGAAGAGGGTTGGCAGGATAACCCCAGTCTCCAGGGTCACATCCAGAGGCTCCGTACACATGTCCATCCACCCTGAAACTGAGCTCAAACATGAATAATTTTACTAGTTTGAACAAAAAAAAAAAAACAGCACAGTGAGACCCTCGAGTGGGTGGTCATGAATTTCAGTCAATTTAAGACAGATTTTCTGCTCACAGAGTGCTTCGAACGCCTCCTCACAGCTCTTAAAGTTTCTTTTGTCATTAAGAAATGAGACTCCTTTTGTTCAGAAAGCAATAACGCACACATTATTGTAATGAGAACTGAGGCATTGTGACATTCAAACAGTGTCCTGATTGTGTGAATTATGAGAGCAATTACAGCAACCACAACAACACTTTGGCTGATCAACAGGGTGTTATCGCTCTCCTTCAACCCCCCTTTCTCTCTCTGTCTATTTCCGTCTTTGTATTTCTGCTCATTGTAATGTGTGCTGACTCGTGGCATTTCGACGGTGTGCTGATTATGAGAATTGTATGGAGGCAATTAGAGAAAACAACATGCTTTGAGTGCACAGCTTTGACCAGGGTAATTGATCCCCATTTCTTCCTTTCTCTGTTATTCCTCAACCTCCTTACTTGCCCTATATTTCTTTCTTTTTTCCTCTCTCTATTTCTCTTTACTACTTTTATCTCTTTCCATCCAACCATGAATTTTCTAATTCATCTCCTTACTAGCACCGGTGTTATTTTAGGTGTTATGGTTAACAGACCTAAGGCATCCACTGGTACCAACCATGCCCTGCTAGCTTGTCGGAAGGGGGCTAAAGAATTCTCCAAATTTTGGCGATGGAAAGGTGATCCCTTGACTTCTGACCTTAAGATATCTGAATGAAAATGGGTTCCTGTGAGTCTCCCCTTTACAAACATGCCCACTTTATGCTAATCCCTCCCCTCCCTTAAGGTTTTTGCATGCATTACTCAAATATTTCCTCATACTGGGGTCCATAAACAGTATTGGAATTGCATAACTTGGGTATGACTGGAAAGCTGAATGTCTGTGGATTCAATTAGCCCAAATGTATTCAAGTGTGATGATGTTCGTCCCCATAGTAGCCATTTTATTGTAGTGATACCGAATGCTACAACCACAACAACAACAACACAGATTGTCGTAGTTCAGGGTATCCTGGACGAGCCCCCAAATATGTTCTCATTTCTTATATTCATTTTTCCATATTTCTGTGCTTTCTGTTTTTCCTTTCCTCCATCCCTTCCTCCTTCTTTTTCGCCTTCTGTTTTTGAAAAGAAAACCTGAAGCCTTTAAAGCTCAGACATTTTTGGGGAGGCCTTTTTTGTTTGTTCGTTAAAGTTTGACTCTTTGATTATGCTCACAGTCACTGTCCCTGCCTTGCAGGACTTCCTGGAGACTCTGGAGGATTTAGATTTGAGCTACAACAACTTGGTGGACATTCCCTGGGAGACCATTGCCCTGCTGGTCAGCGTCAACACCCTCAGCCTCGACCACAACCTCATAGAGAGCGTCCCCGAGGGAATATTCTCCAACCTGCACAAACTGGCCAGGTCAGGATCACATCATAACCCTTAAGTGGACTGTGTGGGTTTAATGGAAAGAGGGATTAACTTTGGCTTTTCACTGGAAATCCAAAGAGAAGTGTTGAGCATCTCCTTGCTTCCTTTCCCCCTTCAAATTGAACTTCATGCAGCTCCCCATAACTTCACGTTCCAATGCACTGCCTGTAAATACTAGTAAACATCCTGCAGAGGGGTGTGGTATAACATACAGCTGCAGCCGTGTGTATAGCTTGATGGATGTTTTTAGCCTCCTCTAACTCAGTTTTAGTTTCACAGCACATGCACTGTATGATGTAGTCTCAGCCACTTTAAGGTTAGGACGGGCAGTTGTTCCATCAAGCGCTCATAAACCCACAGTACACTACCTGCTCAGCACCAAGCAGCAGAGAGAGACACCCAGGGACCAACTGGTAAAGAAAATGGGACATTTAGCAGCTGAACAGCCAATCATCTTTTTGCTTAGAGACCAAACTAATGTTAAAACCAGGCTGAGCATTGGTTCTCTGTATAACACAGGTGTTAGTCAGTGTGTTATGATGTTTTTATGCACCTGGTGGCCAAAAAATTATCAATGCAGCTTTAAAATTGACATCAAATATGGAAATCATCCAAATATGAGTAACATATTTACATAGGATATTATTAGGTGATGCGAACTTATCATGGTTTTTCACAGAGTATTGGGTATTGTGTGTCTTTATATGTGAATTCCACATTTTCACATGGACAAAATGTGAAAATAAATTAATGTCACATGTGAACTGGACATTTCCACATGTGTATAGCTATTTTGAAATGATAAATAATGTCTCACATATGACTTTTTCTGCAAGTACTCACAATTACATAATGAATCTATGTAATTGTTACTGGAAGAATATGTAATAAACTGCACATGAACTCTAAATCTTTCCAGAGACAAAAATACAAATATATATCTGAATGGATCCAGAACAAAAGACTCATCAAAGCGCTTCAGTGCTTCTGTCTAATGGGACTACATCTCTTTAAGGAGAGTTTTTGTTTCGACTGAAGCATTAGAATTAAAATAAACCATTTCGAATTATGTTGTGTTCAACAGTGTCAGTCCCCCTGATGAGCTGCTTTTTCATGTAGTTGTTTTTCAAACCATTTCGACATAAAACCAAAGATTTAGGCTGGATACAACTGAAATCACAGAGCAAATCCCTCCATGTCAGACCTTACTTTATTGGAAGGTGAGCTTTTGACGCTCACTTCACTTTGTCGGCAAACTCTTGTTCAGCAGCGCTTTGCTCCACACACACAGCTGGGAGGTGGCCAGTACGACCAGGTCTGCACTGCAGCTCCACTGGAGGAACTGGGGGCTCAGCATCTTGCCTGAGGACATGTCAATAGTAGATGACGGTAAATGTTACAGCCCTTACTGGCGTCTGGACAGAGTGGGGAATTGAGACGGTGACCTCAGACTGCTGCTGTGCAGCTCTGTTCAAAGATCTGAACATGTTTACACATATTCACACACAAAAGACAAATATAGACAAATCTTTTATTATTATTGACTCCTTAAACACTCATGCACGCTCTCCTCACTCCCTTTAAGGAAATTGAAAATAAACTATACACTGATTGAACAGGAATGTATATATACAATTTTTTCTAAAATTAAACCCTTTTTCAGTTGCTTATTATTAGACGTGCGATTCACTATTCACTTGTCTAAGTAAGCATGAATCTCACCAGACTTGCATTAGTTCAGGGCAGCAGAGCCAGACTCATCACCAACTCGAGAGAGCACAGAAGTCTAAATTTAGCTTTCTTGCACTGCTCCCGATATATTTTAGGACTAATTGTATGATTTTCTAACTTATATTCAAGGTCCTTGCTCCCTGTTAGTCACTGCCTAAGATCCGTCTAACAGGGCACTCATATCTAACTAAGAGTGACCCTGTCACTGCCATAATGGCCCCAATACTTCTTCTGACCTCTGAGGAAATCTAGCTCACAACTTCTCTTTAACTGTTAAAGGGATAGTTAAATTTTGTGAAGTAGGATTGTATGAGATCCATAGTCAGTGTATTACATACAGTAGATGACGGTCTTCACATGACTAGTTTGGAGAACAAAACAGGAGTACCAGCACGTGTTTAAGCCAGCCTAAGACAGCCTTTTCCAACAACAAATTGAAGCATTTATATATCGATCTATGCACTCTTGTAAAGAGACTCTTGTGGCTGACCCACCGTCGCCTCTGTCGGCGGGAGGGAACATTAGTTGCTGCGGATCGAGGCAACAGTTCCACAAGGTAAAATAAAATGATGTCAAAGGAGTCTGGTGGCTTTGAAGTAAGCGATATGAACGCTACAGTTTCCTGTTGGAATGACAATGGAGACTCTTTAACCTTTAACATTAAAACAAATACAATAAATGTTTTAACCAATTTCTTTAAAATCCCAGACGAGCCCCCACATACAAACATAAAAGGATTTTCATTAACAATAGAAATAAAAATAATTACAAACAAACAAGTCCCATCTAAGAACTAAAAAATAATTAACTATAAAGACACAGCTGTTAATTAAACAGGTAAGATGTTAGCGATCACCCTCCCTCCACAGGGGGAGTAAAACAACACAGCTCTAAGCTGCCGTCTGCCACAGTGGCCCCCGTCTGCTCACTGTTTTCGTTTATAAGGCCGGCTGCTATAATGAACAACTGACTGCCGGTGTGCCTGACCATTCGCTTTACAGCACAGAGGGGAGGGCGGTACCTGGAACATGGCAGATGCAAAGCAAAGCACACATCTATCACTCATCTATCTCTATACTCGCAACAGGCTGACGGCAAGGTTAAGTGGTAAAAACACTATAGCATACACTTAAACGGATATGTTTCATTCTGGTACTCTTGTCTGCTTCCCCAAATTGGGGTCATGCCGGCTACAGTGCAGGTATTACACTGACAAGTAAGTGTATTAGTAGTACCACACTTCAATAAACCTGAACTAACCCTTTAAGTCTCAAGATTCCTCTTTTTTCAAAACCTACTTTAAATTTAAGATGACAGCACCTTATTGAAAACTCTCATCTTTATGATAGTGTTCAGTCTCTTTTTGTATTATTTTGGCACAAAACGATCTATTACTTCTTAAGCGTCCTCTAATATCTCTTGTATTTTGATGATGATTGATTAATTTTGTTGATTGAACACGTTCTAATGAACGTATACAATAAGACTTAATCAGATTTGTCAGGGAAACACTGTTACTGCCCCTGATAATGATAATGTTCCATGTTCTGGATGTTTCCACAGTCCACCAGCAGTGCCTGAAATTAGCCAGTGGTCACCAGTACCCGCACACATGAGTACCCTTACTTCTTATTGAGTACCGCCACCTCTGGTGAACATGGCCATGCCTACCACAGAGGTCATCAGGACTTTAAAGAAGTTGTGAAATAAAAATAAATACTTTAATGCCCCCAAAACCCTTTTGCAAGTTCAGCTTTTGGATCTCTATTAAATCCTGCATACAACAATGCTGGTTGAGGTTCTCCTAAATGCCTGTGTAACTGTATCTCTCTGTAAACACAGCTAGGTTAATGGTAAAAACACTGCACTGACAATGACCTTGTGCTGAATGAGGGTCCTGGCACCTGTTTTGGTCCAATTCAGGCACGTGGTCCATCACCCTCAGGCATACGGTGCAGACTATGGCATTTTGTTTCAAGTGCAAACAACAGAGATTCGGTTATAGAAATGTATCAGGAGCCAGATCTGTTAACCTGTCGACACCTTCCCTAATTAAAGGAGGTGTCAACCCCTGTTCCTTTATTTTTTAATTGTTTTGTGTTGTATCCTTCCTGACTTTACTGGCTTCTGCCCTGTAAAACACTTTTACTTTGACCTTTTGAAAAGTTTTACAAATATAGATTTTCCTCATTACATGAGAACTCATTGAATCCTGTACTGGCATAAAACACCATTTGAACCCCATTAACAGCAATCCATTTCAATTTACGTCCCGACAACCAACAGTAATTGATGTGTATGAAGGAAAACCAACCAGGTTCGGATAAACAGTCATGCTTCATAAAAAATCTGTAATGGGGTTATTTTTGCCTCAGAGACACAAAACTTATGGACAAGCTGGTGTAACTCTGACTCTGTCCGTGTGCACAGGTTAGCGTTCACACACACACACACGTACACCAGCACAAATGAATACACCACCAGGCTGCTGCCCATGAAATAACATAATTGAAATTTGTAAAGTGCAGCACGCTTGCTGCTCTCAACAGCTATTAACTTCTTGTTAAGTCATCGTTGTTGTCGAATATTTCTGGAGGGACTT